AAGTCACAAATGCAAGGCTATCACCACCAATAAGAGACAATCTAACCGGCCCTTGATATTCAGTGGTGTTACCATCATGGAATCCTCCACTATCAACATCCTGGAGTTACCGTTGACCAGAAACTCAACTGGATTCACTACAAACACAGTGGCTACTAGAGTAAATCAGAGGCTAAAATACTGCAGCAAGTAACACCTCCTGACTCCCCAAAGCTTGTCCACCACCTACAAGGCACAAGTCAGGAATATTCCCCACTTACCTGGATGAGTGCAGCATCAACAATACTTAAGACAAAGCAGACTGCTTAATTGGGACTACATCCTCAAGCATCCATTCTCTCAATCACCTCTGCTCAGTAGCAGCAGTTTACACAAGATTCACTGCAGAAATTCAACAAAGATCCTCAGACAGCATCTTCCAAACCCATGACCACTTCCATCTAGAAGGACAAGGGCAGCAGATGTATGGGAACAGCACCCCAACTTCAAGGTCTCCTCTAGGCCAATCACCATCCTGACTTGGAAATATATTGCTGTTCCTTCACTGTCACTGGGTCAAAATCCTGGAATTATCTCCCTAATGGCATTGTGGGTCACTTGTGACTGCAGTGTTCGAGAAGGCAGCTCACCATCACCTTCTCAAGAGCAACTACGGACAAGCAATAAATGCTGGCCAGCCAGCAGCACTCTCATCCCACAAAATGAGCAGGAAAAAAGGTACGATAATGAAGACATGTACAAAACGCATTAATCATAAATGACTTTAATCTTAATATAGATTGGGAAAACCAAATGGGCAAATGTAGCTACGAGGAAGAATTCAGAGTGCATTTTGGACAGTTTCCCAGAACAATATGTTGTGGATCCAATCAGGGATCAAATGATTTTGAATATGATAATATGCAATGAGGCAGGCTTAATAAATGATTTCAGTAAAAAATCCTCTGGGCAACAGAGACTGTAACATGGTAAAGTTTAGCATTCAGTTTGAGAGTGAGTAACTTGGGTTGGAAACAATGTAACTAAACTTAAGTAAGAACTACAAAGGAATGAGGGCTGAGTTAGTGGAGTGGACTGCGAAAGAAGTTCAGCATGATGGCAATCTGTAACTAGTGGACTGCCACAGGGATCAATGCTGGGCCACAATTATTTATAACATAAATCAATGATTTGGATGACAGAGGTGAATGTACTATAGCCACATCTGTGGATTACAAAAATAGGTGGTAAGGCAAGTAGTGAGGGTGACACAAGGAGTCAACAGAGGGATATAAAGGGAATTGGCGAACACTTGGCAGATGCAATATAAATGTAGGAAAATGTGCACTGTGGCTGGAAAAATAGAAGAACTGAATATTATTTAAATAAGGAAAGTTCCAGCCAGTGGAATTTGGCAATTCCAGTGCAAAAATCACAAAGTTGGCATCCAATTGCAGCTCATAATAGGAAAGGCAATGGACTGCTGGCCTTTATTTCAAAGGGAATGGAGGAGAAAAAAAATAGGGAGGTTTTGCTAAAACTATACAAGACACAGGTAAAACTATAAACAATCTGGTCCTTTTATTTAAGGAAGAATATATTGGAATTGGATGCAGTCCTGAAAAGTTTCATTATGTTAATCCTGGGTATGGAGAGATTTCCTTAGGAGTAGAGGTTGAATAAGTTGAGCTTGTACACATTGGACTTTGAGAGAAAGACAGGAGATTTTGTTGAAACAAAGATTCACAGGGGGCTTGACAGGGGAGATGCAGACAGGCTGTTTCCCCTTTGTGGGAGATTGTCAGACCAGAGGGCATAATGTCAGAGTCACGAGTTAACCACTTGTGACAGAGAAGAAGAATCTTTTTCGGAGGGTGGTGAATCTATGGAATTCTTTACCATAGAACATACCGTGATGAAAGGCACATATTTTAAATATATTTTAGTTTTGGAATTTGGATTACAAGATAGGTGTAAGGTGAATGTTGGTTATTTCTGTGAAGGATTTTCTTTAAATAAAATGGTCAGTGTCCTTTTGAAACAGTGACCTAATCTAGTATTTGTCACACAGCAAGTGACTACAAATCCTGTGGTTTTAATGGAAAGATGTTTATATTGGTAGGCTAGGAAAATTAGAGTAAACATGCAGAACCAGTTTGTTTTTAGTTCAGAAGAATTTAAGACAAGTTTTTTTATTTGAGTTCAATTCAGAAACAAGTTTTTCTGCTCAGTTCCCAAGATTCCAGTGTTGAATTTAGAAGTTTAGTCTCTTTCCTAGAAAGTTTAGGACAGTTCAGACAACAGTTACTTAAGAGTTTAGCTTGTAAAACTTCCAAACATGAGAGTTTAGTTAGAAATCTACAAATTATTAGCACCGAGAAACATTAGGCTCTCTGATTCTGCAGACTACGTTTCTGGGGGAGGCGATGGCCAAGTGGTATTATCGCTGGACTATTAATCCAGAGACCCAGATAATGCTCTGGGGACCCGGATTCGAATCCTGCCGTGACAGATGGTGAAATTTGAATCCAATAAATATCTGGAATTAAGGGTGTAATGATGACTGTGAATCCATTGACGATTGTTGGAAAAACCCATCTGGTTCATTATTGTCCTTTAGGGAAGGAAACTGCCATCCTTACCTAGTCAGGCCTACATATGACACCAGATCCACAGCAATTTGGTTGACCCTTAACTGCCCTCTGGGCAATTAGGGATGGGCAATAAATGCTGCCTAGCCAGCGATACCCTCATCCCGTGAATGAATAAAAAAAAAAAATTTGTGGAAAAGATATTTATCGCAAACTTCACCCCTATGCAGCATCCTGACCACGCTACTGATGAAACTAACTCAAAATTATGAGCAAAGGCAAAGGCTTCTTTTATCTCAAAACACTGTAGCAGAATTTCTCACTAGAAATTTTCAGAACTATTCAAAATGCTTGACTTTTGATACCAAGTAGAATGTATGCTAGAAATAGAGTTGTACCTTATGTCACACACTAATCTTGAAAATATCTGTTCTCATAGAACAAGCTTATCCAGGAAGTTCTGCTGAAAGCCTCAGATACTGGATCAGCCAACCTTCGAACGAACATGAGCAACCCACCAAATAACTGGTGTGAGAGCCACTGCGGAAGTTATGCTTTCATCAACAAGGTGCCTGTTTCAGCCAATTCTTTTCAATTTTTTTGTAGGCTGGGAAACTTTCAAGTACTGCTTACTGATTTAACAGATTAATTAACATCAGTTCTTAAAAATTCTTCACTATTCCTTGCATGAAATAGGAGAGAATCTGCATAACTGAAACCCTAATACGCTCGCAGGGTTGAATTATAATTTTGCAGTACACAGTGGACAGAATAACTCCAAAGTAACCTGCAGGGAGCCAAGGAGCAAGAGCTCAAATGCTGATGCAGTTTTGTACATCCATTGTACACACCACTATGATGATCTGGGCTTCAATCTAAAAAGGGCTGAAGATGCAGGAGGTAACAAGGGAACTTTACAGTCAGTTTTCCCATCGGTGAGAGAAACACATCTTTGGTTCATCAGCAAGAGGCAGCTGACAGTAACAGACAAGATAATAGTTGAGATGGTGAACCATCATTGCCTTCCAGTCACCTCCCTCAGAATTATGAGGGAGATAGTAGGAGCTGCACATTAGCGTCAATGCCAGATGGCTGGCATCACCTGGGTCAAAAAGGGGATGAATGCAAGTCTCAAGATGCCCAACATTAACACCCAGCAGCTTGCTGCCATAACCTCTGACACTTAAAGTTCAACAGTTCAAGATTTTCAATGCAGTGGTGACTACGTATGGGCACCAGGACACAACTGGTTAGATTGTAAAGGACACAATGGAGCAGTTCTGCATGGTGTTATGAGAGAATTAATATACCTCCCTTTCTTCCCTCGACTATAATGCCTCTTCCAAATCGAAGTCAGTCATTGATAGCTTCAATTGAAAGCCATTTATACAGCAGTGTGATTTAAGATTCACAGACAGTTGCAGAAAAATTCTGTTGCTTGGTATATTTCAAAAGGTATCCCAAATGACAAAAAGAATGCACACAAGGAAGCAACTGCACCAACAGTAAATGGAAAAAAAAATGGCGTGACAGCTCTCAACTGTAGGGAAAAAAACCTAACTTACAAATTTTGACAATCTAAGTTTCAATGACTTTGACTTTAAAGCACGTAGTCATGAATGAGAGTTGTAATGCAAAGGGCCATACAAGCTTGGATTGTAGTATTAGAAAAAGCAGATCTTTCTACCACAGAATCAATTTTTAATGCCTGGATGTATCTACCTAATTGAATGATATTTATGCAATAAAGGAGAAAATGCTTAAGTGCATGGCAAAGGTCAGTTCACATGTTCAAAATATGGAATATATTCTATTTTCTAATGAATGTCATGGGTGAACAGAATGAATACGAAATTTTGAAAAGCAGTCTATTTGTTAGATGCAATAAAAAAATTAGACTTTGCATTTGCAGGGGCAAAAGTGGTTTCTTTAAATGTCCTGAATAAAGATCTGTGGAGCACAGAAGCTTCAAAGAGAGAGTAAAATGTGCCTTTGGTACAGATCTACAGTTTGAAGAAAACTAAATATGTAACCGGTAGCTGCTATTTTATGGCACAGAACTTACGCTTTCCTGTCAATAAAAAGTATTAAAGTGGTTCATGAGCAAGTCTAGGAAAGTGTACATAGTCCACACTTAGCACACATTACCTTTGGCTTCCAGTTCTTTGACCGATTACGAAGCAATTTCAGCGCACTTGTGTATTCAGCTTGCATCCTTCTAGCTGGAACAAGGAGGTCTCCATCAGCTTTTGTTATAACAACTAAATCTGCCATCTCTATTATACCACGTTTAATACCCTAAGGAACAAAAAAATTGAATTACTTTGGTATAACAAACTTCACCACAGAGGAAATGGATAGATTTTTATTTTTATATATTTTTAAAGTCCAGTCCTCTTTAATGATTTTCTCTCCACCTGTGTTTTGAAGGAACATGCTTAAATTAATCCACCTATAATATACATTCTTGGCCATTAATTATCTAAGAGCTTGGGCAGTGGGATTGACAGGCTACTCAACTAGTTGAGACATCACAGCTGAACATACATGGTTCATACTTTATAGAACACAATTAATATTCACACATATGCAATTCCTCGATTGTAACTATTGATGGGAATGCTTACTGATTTTCCTCTCCCCAACTTGGGCACAGATGTCAACTTTTATTTTCCACATTATATTAGGTGAGATGTGCTAATTTAACAGCTAATTTACTGGGAACCCCTTTAAGTCACTTGGGAACCTACAGGAACCACTTAACTTGAATTTGGAAGCAAAGCTATTGCTCAATGATGTGCAAGCAAGCAACAGCAGAATGTCTGAGGCTCTGACGCAAAGTGTAAAATTTTTGGAGGCTTCAAATTTAAAGTTGTAATTCTTTTCCTTTCTTTGTTTCCCTGTTGCACCCCAATTTCACTTCCAGGAGTGCACGTAATGTTCTTGTCTATGAAATGTTCCAATGCTGCCATGCACACTTCTGTGTTCCTTATTAACAGATTTGTTTTTATTGGGCAAGGCTGATTTTACACAATACCCTTTACTCTTCCCCAGAATCGAAAGCAATTTGCCACTTTCTGACAACAACCAGACAATTTCTTCAAAGTGCATCTCATTGCTCGTCAGCCTAATGTCCAAGTAACTTTGCACGAATATCTTCGGGATAACATATATAATTCTAATTGAGAGGAAGAGCTTACTCATCACATTTCTAGTTTCTAATTTTAGAACTGATAACTTAAAGAATCATCTACACATATTAGTGACACAAATCAGTAAAATACAAGCTTGACATGTTTAGCAATGTCGATGGGGAAAGAAAATATTCACACACTACCTCTGAAACACAACTGCCCCCACATTTTAGAAAAATGTCTGTAAATTTCCAAAATTCTAACTTGGTGCTGAAATCCTTTCTAGGAATATAATTTAAACTGTCAATTTAACATGTCTTACAAAAATTTTAAAAAGTGTTTACATTAATACCCTGCTGAATTCATTTAATCAAAATTAAATGTGCACAACTGAAATTATATTTTTATTAGTTTAAAACAATGAGGTCAATATGGATTCATTCTACAAGTGGGCAGGTACTGGCATACAGTCCAACGAAACTTGGGTAAATAAAAAATTAAAAATTATCAAGTGATTATAATCAAGATTTAAAACAACAAAAGTAATGCAAGAATTAACTCCACATAAACTCTCCAACAACTTTCCAAACGATTCATTTGATTTTATACAAAAACTACAAAGATACTGCAGGTTTGAGTCATATTACATGCCAAGTATCAGGCAAAGCATTTTAATTAGTCTCAGAATCTCTCAATCAGGGACAGGGAAAGGTAGGAAAAATACAAATGCAACAATATAATCTCAAAGGTGAGGCCATAACTTAAAAGAAAAGTAAGGGTACCTGTGCAATATCGGCAGAGTTTTCAACACAAATCAACTCAAAATCTCAAGTTTATTCTTGCTCCCTTCCTTTCAAATGCAATGAACCCAAACAATTTTGAAATATTTGTTGGGTTTTTTTTCTTTATTCATTCACGGGATGAGGGCATCGCTGGCTAGGCAGCATTTATTGCCCATCCCTAATTGCCCAGAGGACAGTTAAGAATCAACCACATTGCTGTGGGTCTGGAGTCACATGCAGGCAAGACCAGGTACGGATGGCAGTTTCCTTCCCTAAAGAACATTAGTGAACCAGATTTTCTGACAATTGACAATGGATTCATGGTCATCATTAGACTGTTAATTCCAGATATTTATTGAATTCAAATTTCACCATCTGCCATGGCGGTATTTGACTCTGGTCCCCAGAACATTATCTGGTCTCTGGATTAACAGTTCAGCAATAATACCACTAGGCCATCATCTCCCCTCCAATAATGGTAGTAATAACTTAAATCAAAAAGAACTTGACAGAGTTTCTATTTTGTCTAAATTCCACAAATCAACCATTAATTCATTAAAATATACAACAGCTTGCATCTCACCTGCAATTCATCTCCTCCTACGGGTGGAATGAATAATATCAGCATATCCACCATGTCTGCTACTGCAAATTCAGACTGGCCCACGCCTGCAAAGAAGGAAAAGAAAACACCACACTGACACTGTTGCATTGAATATGTTCTTGTAAAAATATATTATGAGTAGGATAGGCCATTCAGCCAGTCGCGCTTGCTCTGCCATTTAAAATGATCATGGTAGATCAAATACATCAATACTTTTTACCTATACCGTTTTATAACCTTTTATGGGATGATCAAAAAAACGTATCAACCTCTCCATTAAATAAGACAGCCTCCTCTGGGGTGGAGAATTCCAAAGAAATTCTCATCTGTGCTAAATGGCATCCCCCCATTTAATTGCAGGGTAAATATCTTGCCTGTATCTAGCTTGTCTATTCCTTTAAGTATTTTGTAGGTTTTAATGACATTACCTATCATTTTTCAAAATTCTATAGAGAATACAGGCACACCATTAAGCTTTAATCAAAATGCACTTTATTCTTATAAGACTGTTAAAGAATAAGGAGAATTGGTATAGCTTTACTGTTGAAATACTTAAGAAGGTTATGTATTATTTAACCACTAATCATCAACTGTTTCAATATAGGCAGCATCCCATAAATACACCCTTGGCAAAGACAAAGACAATTTAGCAACAGTTATTATTCTCACGTGCTGTCTCTCCTAACCAGTAAAATAAAACAACAAAAAGAAATAATCTGCCCTTTTTAATTTTTTAAACACGAAGCCTCTCTGTCTAAGTCTTCACTCTAGCAGCAGAGAACAAGCTTTCAGCTCCAGCAGCCAGCAAAAACCTGCACCACTAGCTGAAAGCAAAACTAAAGTCTTCGATTCCGTGTGAGCTTGACCCCACCCACTCATGATTCTTTGTCTTACTTTAGGGGGAAAAAAATACCATTGAGAACTCAAAGATAGTAGGAACTGCAGATGCTGGACAATCTGAGATAACAAGGTGCAGAGCTGGATGAACACAGCAGGCCAAGCAGCATCAGAGGAGCAGGAAAGCTGACATTTCGGGCCTAGACCCTTCTTCAGAAATTTCTATGGAGAATCTATGGAGAACTCAAAGCTATTTACCAACTGCCTTTCTGAAGGAGACATTTTGATATCACTGCGACAACACCCCTCTGCAAGAGAAAGAGGTCAGAATGCGTCTCTTTAAAGGCACAGCATTGTCACAAAACTTTGTTTCTCTCCACAATGGCAATAAAATAAGGTGACCAAAACTGAAACAGTACACCAGGTACAGTCTACCAAGCTCCTGTAGACACTGAAGCTAAATTTACTACTCCTGCTTGGAAATCTTTTTGTGATAAAGACTAAGATTCCATTGGCATTCCTAATGTCTTGCTGCACTTGCATGCTAGCCTTCAGTGATTTACTGGCAGGGACATTAAATCCCTTTGCACATCTACACTTTTCAACCTCTCACCATTTAAGTAGTATTCTACATATCTAGTATTCCTATCAAAAATCGATATTCCTCATATTTTTCCATATTGGTCATCATGTTGCCTAATCACTAAACCTGCCCAAATGCTCTTTTAAAATCATTTTGCATCTCACTCTGCAAATTTGGAAATGTTATATTTGGGTCCCATATACAAATAATTGATATATATTGCGAACTGTTGAGGTCCTAGTACAGATCCTTTGTAGCACCGCAGTCATTACTGTCTGCCAACGAGAATAACCCATTTAATCCCGTTTTCTGTCCGTTAGCCAATCCGTAACCCATGCTGGTACATTATATTTTATAGCATCTGCTTTAATTTTGCTAACCAACTGCCTGTGCCAGACATTATCAAAATCCTTCTGAATGTCCAATCATATTGTAATTTTAGGAGTCAGTTAGCTCAGCTGGCTGGACAGCTAGTTTGCAATGCAGAGCAATTCAATTCCTGCAATGGCTAGTTTACCATGAAGGACTCTCCTACACAACTTCTCCAGGCTAAACCACCACCAGTTGGGTCTTTCTAATGAAAGAGCAAACCTATGGTCCTCTGGGACTACTGTAAAATTTCTTGGCCTTCTGAGGATTTCTGAGAATTTTGAACATTCATCTGAACAGTTTAATATCAAGGTTTAAACGCATCACTTTTAATAATGCAACATTTATATTTATGCTTACATTAGAAAGAAAATTAAAAGTCAAAACCACCATTAGTTCACAATACTGACTGCGTATGTTGATAAATGGGAGTCAGTACTCACATTGGTAAATCAGAAGGTCAAGCACCTTGACAAGAAAGTCAGGATGGGTTCATCCCCTTTCTAGGGCTTGTGTTTATTTTCACAAGTCATTAGTACAGTGCAGAACCAAGGAACGGCTTCAATTGTGGAATATGAAAACTGGCTGTACGTTCCCTTTGTTTCAAAAGCAACTATTCTTCAGAAATGCCTGATTGCGAAAGCACTCTGTAGCATCCTAATGCAATGAAACAGACAGATACATATGCAAGTTCTTTCTTAAAAAAAAGCTGGCAGCAGTGGCACTGTAGGTAGTGTTTGAGTTGAGCTCCTCCACTCCAGGTTGGCCACATTTGTTTTCTCGCTCTCTCTCCCCTTTCTTCATCTTCCTGATGTTGCAGGGAGGCCAGAGCAGTGTTGGCGGTGACTACTGGCTTGTAGGCCTGATGCATGGACTCCTGGAATGGCAGCGGAGTATGGACTCCATCGGTGGCAGGGATTGACTGCAGTGGTGTCAGTGTCCAGAGAGAGGGCTCATGGCTGTGGTAGGCCTGGAGCACGAACCTTGCAGAAGGCCTGGAGCTGTGTTTGGGATCCCAGCTGAGGAAAATAAACTCTATTTAAGTACTTCCTTTTTATTCCTTTGCACTTCAAAATGGTGCTGGATTGTGGTGATAGAACGCTTTTCACTGCATCTCCTTAGATATACGTGACACTAAATGGTTCATCCATCAAGCTAGTATCAATGGAGAAGACTTTCACAACGTAAGTAACAATGATGCATTTTAGAACAGAATTTGAATCAGTTTCATGCACAAAAAGAACGCAGAAGTTCTACAGACCCACAAGAATTATCAATTATTTTTGTAAGGATTCACTAAGGCTCTTTAGACAATACCCTCGAAACCCATGACGACTACCACTTGAAAAGGCAAGGGCAGCAGATACGTAGAAATACCATCACCTGCAATTTCCCCTCCGATCAATTTGCCATCCTGACTTGGAGACACGTCACCATTTGTTCGTTGTCACCTGGCCAAAATCCTGGAACTTCACTCCTAGAAGTACTATACTTACACCAAATGGACTGCAGTGATTCAAATAAGCAGCTCACAACCACCTTGTTAAGGGCAACAAGGGCCAAGCAATAAGCTAATTGTTGCAACACAGGGATAGTAAACTTAACCAAATCAGCCCACTATCACTGGATTCATGACACAGTGAACTTAAAATATTCAGGGAACGTCAAAATTGCTCAACTATTCCTACCAGAGTTTACAAATAACAGATCTTGGACATCAAGTTTAAACCTTAATAATAAAGTTATGGATATAACTTTAGCAGAACACTGATAAACTACACGGCAATCGAATTAATATCCACAACATATGCCCAGTCTGAGTAAAAACTCACTTTCTTGCACCGGCAGACACAGTTACGGGATAAAGTAGAAATGAAAATAAAAGAATCTTAATATGTCAGTTTAATAACCGTTTCAATTATGATCACCAGGCCTTCATGAAATCCTTGGACGATGGTTGTACTGCAGGCACACAGAACTGTGTATTTTGCTTGAATTCCAAAGTCACTAGCCAAAGTAAAATGATTCTGCAGACAGCTGGACACTTTCTACTTGTATTTTATGACAGAGGTTCTTTCTCTCAGAACTTTCAACAAGTTGATAACTGAAGAATAACTTGAGAGAACCAACAAAATTCACAGTCCAGTCAGACAACTTCCAAAACCAAACGGTCTCCAACCCAAAACCCAGTCAGATCCAGTTCACTCTTTGCTTACTTTCTTTATAACATTATGATTGGCTGGCTAGCACCAGACCTCCCTTGATTGATCAATTCAACATCCAACCTGCTGCCAGTTCCTGACCCATCTCAGCGCTGAATCATTCACAGTATTCTGACAGCAGTAAGAAATCTGCATTGTCTTTCCAGGCCAGTTCCCAATAGCAAACATTAGCCTTTTGTGCTCTCTTTTTTCTAAAAAAACAACAAACTGCTGTTTAAAGTTCCATTCTCAACTTCAACTCATTTCCAAACCTAAAAGAACCACAGAGATGGTCTTAACAGAGTGAAGCCCCCATCCCAAGAATAATTTTAAAAGATATAGCGGCCACAAATATGGGAGCATTTGGAACAATTCTACATAAAAACAGTATGTATGGATCATTCAATGCAGCAGTAAATCATTCAATTTCACGCTTCCATAAAGGTCATAATAGACTAGATCCTTAACTGGAGGACGCATATAAAAACAAATGGCTACAAGATAATGTCAGCAGCTGAGAATTCAGTGACAAATAACTTCTCAAAGCCTGTCCATCATCCATAAGGCATACGTCAGAAGCGTGAATGAATGCATCCCACCTGCCTATGTTAGAAGTCACTGGGCTATAACTTCAATCTCGCTAATCTCAGAGTTGGAACAGGATGGACTGGTCAATAAGGAATGTCCTCTAGGCATCGAGTTGTCATGCTTATAACTGCGAGGATAAATTAATGTCCTGCTTTTCTGGTAATGCCCCCATGTAATCCAATAACTGAATTAAGTGGTTCTTCAAAAACTGGTTTGGTATCAAAAAGTACTGGTATGATTACTTGTTCAGGTTTTCCTACCACCTGACATGTATAACATGTAGTGCAGTTCTGTAAAAAAACATTTATGAAGTCCTGGTCATGTAAAATACCTGTTTATCGATACGGAAAACATGAGTATTGTGTATGCTATGCTGTAGGAACTCCATGTGCTCCTCACAATATCTCCTTACGACATTCTTGGCAGTACCACCATCTGATGGACAAGCAAAAACTAAGCCCATTCTTCATCCACAGGTTTTTGAGAA